AAGAAACACGTGCTACTACTATGTAAGGACAACTACAACGGTGTTAGCCTCAGAATAAAATGACAACCCGCATAGATACATGAGTTTTGAAGCGACCAATCTTACATCGCATGCTACTTTTATTGCATCATAGTCACGTAATAGGCATTGGAGGTTTTATAGTTTTTGTTGGAACTTTAGCCTGTTTTTTTTTCCTAGTATGGTTTGCTTTTTTGTCACAACGCGCTTTTGAGTGGTGGTTCTAACTTTTTATCAAAGCAAGCAACTATTACTTCTACAAGCTGCTATGTCGTCTTGCGAAACCCCTACTGAAGCTAATACTTGTTGCAAACGTAAAGGCTAGGACTACTGGCCAAACTTAGCGTTGCGGAAGGCTAAGGCCTCATTTGGAATGACTTCCCTTCAATAGTAAAGCTTTTTTTTTTTTTGCTTCAGCTTCATAAACAGCTTCATCGATGGAGCTGGAGTCGGTTTGATAAATTGTTTGGCAAAACAACTCGACACATAGAGTTCTTTGAAACATGTTCTCACAGAATGCCATGCAAAATGAAGTGAAAAGCCGGATGAAACCACTATTTTTTTGCTTCATTTCACCTCAAACCTATGTGAGAGCACAATTTAAAGGGTTTTCTGGATAAAACAATTTTGTTTTACTCTGTTTGACACAAAATAGCTCTTGAAGCAAGTGAAAAAACCCCGCTAAAAGGGATCTATGTATTTTTATGGACAGTTTCAGACAGTTTTCAATAGAGAAACGGATAAGAGCATTCCCTATACATGCAGTGCTGCACATTTGTGCCGACAATGCTACTCAAGGTGCGAAAGGAATCCGCTCCCACGTCAGAATTACACACCTGTACGCAATTTCAAAGTTGATTGCCACAATGCCATCGGAAAAGGCAAGCTTTCCGTGTACTACATAAACAGCATGGTCGTCCGTTGGTTTTAACGAGGAACTTATCAGTCAACCAATAATGTTTTTATCTCACAATAAATTAACACCAATTAAACTTATTAACCCAGAAATCAACCAACGAACAGGCTCACAGATCAACCAAAGTACTCTTAAGTGCACTTTCCCCCAAATCTTTTAGTAGCTTTAGTTCAGGGTTAGCTTTCAATTTTTCCTCCAAGAGAAGGCCCACTCCTGGTCGAAAAGGGCGAAAGAAGCAATAGTAAGTGGCAATCGCACAGTTGAGTACTTGTACTAGCGGCTAAAGTCATCTCTAAAAAAATTGGAATGGAACATAAAAATAATAATGAGATCCAAACATTTGGATTATTGAATAAGATCATTTTAGAATCCAGATAGGTCTTGTTATCAATGTTCATCAAACGGTAATTACTCGGACACATATCGTTCAGCGTTTATTTAGGTTACATGACCACTTAAACGACCTACACTGTCAATTAAACAAGATAGAACGGTCGAATGAATGGACACAGTCGGTCATCGAGTAGCGTATGAACGGTGTGTAAGTGGACTACACGGCTGTTTATGGTAACACTACATGTTAATTGGACATTCGCTCTATACAAATTAAAGGCAATAATCACTAGTACGAGAATAAGATCCAAACACTATCACCTTTTTTTATTTATAATTCAGATTCTATATTACTACTATCTACTACTATCTACTAGAATAAATATGAGAACTTTTTCAAGTTGACTAAAATTCTGAACAGAAGCCATAGGTATTTGCTAAAATATAAGTGCGAAGAATCTAATGATTGCAGTATGATAAATATTATTATTTTGTTATATAAAACGAAAACGGCCGATTTACCGGGTCCTCATCCCTAGTTAACCACCAGATCAAAGCAGAGTAGCAGACGGCCAGGCCGTGGCGTCCGTCCATGTCACGGGCGGTAGACGGCAGCATGGATATCCATCCATCCCAGCCATGTCCCATCTCGATCGATGAGACATGAGATGAGGCGGCCGGGGGACGAGGGCAGACCCTAGTTCACCACGCCGATTTTTTTTCTAGCAGGCGCCGCGCCGCGGCGAGTCCATAGCGTCGGACGGTAGACGGCGCATGGTTTATCCATGCTTTTGCAGCGTTGTCCCATCTCGATCGATGACGCTTCAGCAATGAGGACGACCGAGGGACCGAGGTCCAGCGAAACAAAAGCGGTTCAGCACGCCGTTTTCTTTTCTGGGCGGGATTAAATATAAATAAAAATAGGCAAGCGTTCGGAAGCGAGCGAGCGAATCGTTTTAAGCTCCGGTACTATAATTGAACACTATTTATCAAATGCCGAGGAAAGGCGCTGCGACGCCACGCATTTTGTAAAATTTTTTTACGACTAAAGTGACCGTAAGAAAAAGGCTGTCGATTTCAGTCCCTGCTGCTGAAGCCTGAAGTCCGGTCGCTTCACCAACTTTTGGGTTCAGAGTCGTCGGGCCCTTTTTTACAGCGGGAAAGAGAAGGAAGGAGCCCAGTGCACGTCATGGCCAGCTGATGACTGATGGGATGAACTTTTTGCCTTTTGGGTTGTTCATCTCGACCTTGTTTAGATTGTAAGTTTTTTCACTCTCTCTTTATTACATTAAATCTTTTGACACATACATAAAGTATTAAATGTAGATAAAAAAATAACTAATTATACAGTTTAATTATAAATTACGAGATAAATCTTTTAAACCTAGTTAAGCCATGATTAGATAATAATTATTAAATACAAACAAAAAAAAACTACAGTACCAAATACGAATTCCTAACACCGATCTAAACAAGCTCCAGGCGGGATAGTAGTCATGGAGAGTTACTGCACCTACCTGGCACAAAATTCACTCATTAATGTACTGTAGCAGGCAGCATAGTAACCCCACTGCTGCTATGAAACCAATTAAACGACGATTCATTAAGTAGCCGCCAATATATGAAATATGAAAACTTCGACCCGGTTTGTTTCGCTGAAATTTATGCCATGTTCGAAAAAGAAGTCGAATAAATCATTTTTAAGACGATGACGCGGGGCCAATATATAAATATGAAAACTTCGACATAAGTTTTAAACAGCAATTTTAGCTTATACCGATATTTATGTTAATTTATTGTGAAAAATAAATAATGTTTTATTAAAAATATTTATTGAATTGATTGGTTGTGAAGAAAAAATGAGGGTATTTGAAAAAACTTACGACTTGTTTATAAGACAATTATTCTCAGGACGTTAGCTTATACAATCCAAAATTTATGTTAATTTATTGTAAAAAATAAATAATGTTTTATTAAAAAATATTGTTGAAGCCGTGACTCAGACAACAGCGAAAAATAAGGGCGTTCGGCTATAATACTTACAGCTTGTTTTAGCTTGTCCCGTTGTCCAAAATCTAGTGTTCAACCTACCAGCCGAACGAGAAATCGAAAGCCGGAGGTTAGGCACACCCACGTCAGTGGTCCGTCTGTGGCCCGGTGTGTGTGGGCGAGCTGTCAGCAGGGCAAGCAGGCCGCGCGTCCGAAAAGGTCCCCCGGCCGCGCCGCAGTGCGTCGCGCAACTCCCAACCACACGCGACGACGCCGACGCGGGCGAGAGCTGAGAGAGCAGTAATCCCGCGGCAAAGCCAGCGCTCTCGCGGCCGCTACCGCATAAAGTAACTTTGCGAGCAATTAAAGCCCGCAAAGCGGCAGCAAGCTATACACGACAGTAGGGCGCTACTAGTAGTAGGGCTATCTTCTTCCCCCCTGCTCCTGACAAGTTGACGGTTGGAATATTTATCTCCCGGCGCTTTTTTGGCCGGGCGGGCATTGATGGCCGGTAAAAGCCCACCCGGCGGCCAGGTGCCCTGTCCCCATCATCCCCATGCCCATCCATGCCCATTGTGATGAAACTTCCCAAAAGGGTGGTGAAAAGCGCTGGGCCACCCACACACGGAAATGTGACCGTGGCCATGTAGCAACTAGCAAAGGCTGCCTTTTCGTTGTCTAGGTTGCCCATCTTCTGTGCGCGCGGTCAACAGCATCATCGCCTTTTTGGTTTTGAACACATCGGTATGATATGGGTCTTTTTTCCGTGTTTGATCTAGACTAAAGTTCACGAGATATCTTATTAGATATCATATCTATTGTCACATTGGTTGTTTTGATATTAATAATAAAACTAATTACAGAAGTCGTAACTAATCCGTGAAACGAATCTATTAAGCCTAATTAATCTATCACACAACACGTTACTATAGCACCATATTATCAAATCATAATAGATTCGTCTCACAAATTAGTCTAAATCTATATAATTAGTTTTATAATTAGTCTATATTTAATACTTCAAATAGTGTTAAATATGTTTAGTATAGTTGATGTAACGTGGACTAAATTTTTGGAAGTGGGAACCCCTCACACGCACACTCTCTCTCATCCAGTCATCCGTGCTGGGCTGGGCAGGCTGCTAGCGCTGCGAAGAGAATGCATGCCGTGAGCTCCATCTGCAGAGCATCAGCACTCCGTCGTCACCTTTTCCCAGGATTCCAGGAATATAAGGAGGACGCGGGTTTGATCGTGCGAGCTGAGCAAGCAGTGAACACCGACTCCCTCCCGGGGATCCGAGTTAGGACTGGACAGGACAGGAGTGCATGGGATCGCTGATCGTGATCGCATCACATTCAGTTGAGCACGCACGCTGAGTTTGCAACCTTACCTTCCCCTGCTGTTACATTACACTTTTTTTACACACATCTGCAAGGTCCAAGGTAAGCTAGTAGCTAAAGCCAAGCTTTTAGTAGGAAACAACAGAAGAAGGAAACAGACGAGCTAGACACAGAGAAAAGGAAAGAAAACAGAAGCCATTTCCATGTCGTCCTCCATCCATCCATCAATCCATACCCACTTTGGTGTTTTTGCGTAAGCTTGAAGAACGTACAAACAAGGCAGCCTTCCCACCTCATCACTAGCAACTTACGCAAGTCAAACCACCCTACTAGCTCTCTATCCGATTCCGAGGGGCCTGCCTGCGCTCGATCAATCGGATCGTCACGTCAGGATCAGGACTAACTCAGAACCGGCGGTCGGGGCAGACCGGCCACCGCTCGCCGTAGACGGCCGGTGACGGCGACGTCGGGGAGGAAGGGTGCTGGCCGGGGAAGGCGAGGACGAAGCCCGCCGCCGCTTGAGCGGGGTGCAGGTGGTGGTGGGCTGGCACGGGCACGGGCACGGGCACGGGGACTGGGACGGGGACGGGGACGGCGCCGGCGGGGCCGAGGGGCCGGTTCTTGCGGCGGCCGGCGCCGACGGGGACGTTGCGGAGCGCGCCGCCCGCGGTCCAGTAGCGGTGGCAGTCCTTGCAGAAGTGGCGCGGCTGGTTGACGTTGTAGTTGTTGAAGTAGCAGAACTTGGTGTTGCGGCTCCGGCACCGCGGGCACGGCAGCGGCGGCGCCGACGACGCGGCCGCCGCGGCGCGCGCCTCCGCGGTGTCCTGATGCTGCTGCTGCTGCTGATGATGATGCCGCGGGCGCGGCTGCTGCTGCTGCTGGCCTTTGCTGTCGTCGCTCTCGGCCGCCTGCGCCGGCCCGCCGCCGGCGCCGGCGGAGTGCTGCTGCTTGTCCGCGACGACGAAGTCGTGGTCCGCCGCCGCCGCCTCCCGCTTCACCATCGGCTGGTCGCGCTCGTCCGGATCGTCCCTCTCCCGCGCGAAGGCGGCCGTGCTCCTCGACGCCGGCGGGGCGGTGTCGGCGCACAGCTGCGTGATGACCTTGCCGAAGAGCTTGAACCCGCCGGGCGCGGGGGCCATCTCGACGTGGGACAACATTTGGTGCTGCTTCGTCAAAGCAAGGAAACACCAGTAAATGGAAGTGCTAGTAGTAGCTAGAGAGAGGATAGGGATAGGGAAGGGGCGCCCGGACTCCGGAGCGAGAGCGAGAGGCTCGGCGGTGGTGACAGACCAGGGAGCTAGGGGGCGGGGACGAAGGGGTCGTTGCTACTTAAATGCCCTCTCGGCCTCGGCTAGGCCCGTCCGTCACAAGACCAAGACAGACGGGAGCCGCAGCAGATGCATGGACGGATACACACACATGACTGTACTGTGCATGCACTGATGAGTTGAGTTGGGTTTGGATCGGGTCGGGTCGGCCTGCGGGGTGGTGAAAGTGAAACCGAAAAAAGGTTACGGCGCGGGTGGCGCGGGCGAGGGTTCGACTCGACTCCTGTAATCAAAGTCACTTCCTGTGTGATTTGGTTTGGTTTGCGGCTTGGCTTTGCGAGATGACGATCGATATCGATCGAGGCCTCGAGGGTGCGTGCATGTGGAGCTTGTGATTCGAGGAGAATCTGCCGGTTTTTATAAAGCACTGTCGCGCGCGTGTGGGGTTGGGACGGCAAGGGAGAGGGAGTGGACCGGGAGTAATCTGTTGCGGAGAAGTCAAGGCATGGGGGCGCTTCTACGCGCTTCGCTACTGCGGACTTCCTGGTAAGCTGCGGAGCGGTATAGGACAGGAGTCTATCTACGGTGGCTCCTACCTGTAGTGGTGGCGGTAGCACAGTAGCAGGGAGGGAAAAATCGACCCTCCAAGACTCTTGTTAGCATGCTAGATATATGTCTGTACGTTGTAACATGGGTCAATTTTTTTTTAATTGAAGCTTGGTAATCGAACGTGAACGCTTGAGTTCCGAGGCCTTTGTATCGGACGACGCGGACATGTGGATCTGCTCTTCGTATCATATTAGACACAGACGCGTGAGTAGAATCAAGGTTTGGTATCTCACCATGTAGATGAGAGATTGAGATAGAGATCAACAAACAACTTCAATAGATCTAGCATGGGGGGATCCAGCCCCTCTTATTTCCTCCTCTAGCTCCATTGATATCAAAAGAGGAGAAGGAAGAAAAACACATTATAATGTTAAACAATGAACTTTTGGCTTTTATAGGGAGTGTAACTTTGTTTCATAGCTTGCGTGCATTATATATATGCACTGTTCGCTTGGCTGATAAGCCATGGCTGAAAGTACTATTGACTGATTTGTTGTAAGAGAAAAATACTGTTCGTTGGCTGAAAAAGTACGGCTTATAAGTCAAGCGAACAGGGCGATACAATTTGTTGCAGACATTCCCATCCTTCTTCTTTGGTTGTTCGTCTGCCTCTTCCCTTTATTAATAGGCGACCTAATGTATCTGTTGGTGTAGAAAGTGATCAACACGTAAATATTTGTAGTTTTGCCGTACGTTGTGATCGGAGGTGGTCTAGCACTCAATGACACGGGATTTATACTGGTTCAGACAACGTGCCCTAAGTCTAGTTTGAGTCGGTCGGTGATTTTATTCATGAGCCCAGGTGCTCGAAGTTTGCAGTGGGGTTACAAACAAGAAGGAGAAAGATATGGATACAAGAGCTCCGGTCGGACTCTGGTTAGAGGGACCGAGAGCGACGGGAGCCATGCTGTGTGCTAAGTGTTCGACGTGTGTGCTTATGGTTTGAACCTGATGGTTCTGCTGTTGTGTAGTAGTCAACTTGATCGATCTGAATCAACCTACATGTTGGAAGAGAGCGCATCCCCCTTTTATAGATGAATTCCGGCTTTACAAATGAGAGGGAGGGAGTACGTTTACTGCTAAGTCTTGCTGCCCACGCCGGCGGGTACAAGATGATGGTAGGCGCCCACAAAACTGTTGAACATCAGATGCACGTGGGAGGTTGTGCCGTCTTGTTCAGGTATGGAAGATGTCGGTACCTGCTATACTATTGATGCCCAGAGCCATGTGAGGAGTTTTACCATGTTCGTCTGCTACGGTAAATGTCGGCGCCCGCAACGCTGTCGATGTCTCAGAGGCAAGTGGGGGAGTCTTACCATATTTGTCTGGTATGAGAGTTGATGGCGCCTACAACATTGTAGGAGAAAATGTTGGTGCATACAACACTGCTTGGGCTCTGTCATGCTAGAGAGGTCGTAAGGTACTGTCCTGCAGGTGTGCAGGGTACGGTCCTTGGTATTACAGTTGACTTGGGTGCCGTATCTTATCTTCTCCGCTTGTTTCCTGGTCCTTACCGAGCGGGCGTCTCCGGTCGGTTGGTCCCAGTCGGCTTTGATTGTGTCAGCCGGAGAGGAGTTGTAAGCAGGGGTTTGGTGTATCCCCGGTCGGAGAAGCGGGTCGGAGTCGGAAGTGGTGTTGGCCAGGCCTTCCGGTCGACGAGGTCGTCTGGAGGCGGGCTGGAGACCGAAGCGAGCGCTCCGGTCGGAGAGGCGGGCCAGAGTCAGAAGCGGGCGTCGTTCCTCCTCGGTCAGGCCTTCCGGTCGGAGATTTGGACCACCCTTCTGGCCTATCATTTAGGTACTTGGGCCGGCCCAAGAGCTGCGCGTTGTTCGCAGCGTTTGTCTGCTGGGCCGAGCCTTTGCTGGAAAGTCGGCCTCTGCTTGTCCTTGCTGCCTGCCGCCGCTGTCTATCTCTGTGTCGAGGTCAAGCTGCTGTTGCTGTCGTGTACTTTTTCTTTCTTTTTATGCAGCCGAGGAGCCCAGCTCAGCTCACCATCCCCGCTCACTCTCTCGGTCCCTCTCGCTCTATCTGCCTACTACGTCGGGCCACCGACGCAGCACAGTGCCACCGCCCGCCCATAGTTGGTTTCTTCCCCACCTCGCGGCTTGGCTTGGCAGAGGCTCTCGTGTTGCCCTCCCTATGCTTGCCTCAGGCCGAACCGCCCGGTTGCTCAAAGGCCACTTGCTCCACGACAAATCACCGCTGCCTTTGAGCCTCCATCGCCGGTCTTGTTTCCTGCCATCCGTCGTGTGTCTCGTGGACCGCCCTGGACTGTAGCTCTCAGTGCCGGCGCCCCTCGTCTTCCTTCCCGTAGCCCCGTTGCTGCGGCCCGCACGACGCCAAGCTACTCCGCCTCGCCTCACAACCGCGGCTCAGTGGCGTAGCCAGGATTTGTAGCTATGGTGGTCCATTATCAAAAATTTTGTTAAATAAATTTAACATGTCGGTACATAAGTATATGAATTATACAAAACACAATTAAAGAAAAAAAGGCATACATAGTTTTTCAACTTATTCTTGATAAAGGTCATTGCAGAATATATTCTTTGATGCATATTTTTGAAAAATAGAGGCAGTATCACCACTCCTTTTCATATTTCTATAAGTCTGTAAGAGAATAAAAAATATTGTTTTAATTTACCATTCCAATAATCAATTGTACACAAAAAAATCTTATCCTACAATTAAAATTAAATAGTCCAATGCGACCGTACAATAATATAATCTAATGACACAAAATAAAATAAAGTTTTGTGTATCTTGTGGCTTATGCGGCTTCGACGCGTCGATGCCTAATGGTGGATGGATCCGTGTCGGCGATCACGCCCAGTAGCCACCAAACAATTCTTGATGCGTTACGCTTTCGAGTTATGGCTAATTTACTTATTCTCTAGCTCTAAGGAGAGATTGAAGAGAAAAAAGGAAACATGACTAAACGAAAGAGGCTAATTGGATGAAGATGTTGAGACGATACCCGCAGATGACTCACGTGTGCGGTACTTTCGTCGTCCGGCGCCTTGCCGCCGACCCGCCGCCGCCGCTATCGTTTGGTATATCGAATTCTATGAAGCACAACTCATCAAGGGATACTGGAAGGCGCATAGCGGCAAAGACGGAGAAATCTGAAGGAGCGCGCAGAATGGCGCATAGGCGTATTCGCGGAGGTCGCGGGACGCTTTCGAGCACGTATCCGATCTGACTTAATTTTCCTATATCTATGGGCCTGGTATGCACCGGTGGTCCGCGGACCACCCGGACCACCATGTAGCTCCGCCCCTGACCGCGGCGCACCCGTGCCCCCTTGCTGCTGCGCTGGGCCTGCTGCTCTCAGCTCCGCCCTTTACCTTCATCGCTCTAGCGCTGCCCCTCCCGAGCCTCGCGTGTCCCGCAGCCTTGCCGGCCAAACCGTGTGCACGCCCATCGCCCTACAAAGACCGCCTAGGCGCGCCCATTGTCGCTTCGCTTTCTCGCGAAGTGTGCTCGAGCCAGGTTATCCGCGCCGATGCCGCCGGTGGCCACCCCGCCGGAATCGACTTCGCCTCGGCTCTCCTCTGCACCACGGCCGCCGCTGTGCATGGTCCCGATGTCTAGCACCACATCCGGCCATGCCGCGGCTACCTTGGGGTCACAGAGGAACCTGCGCTGGGAGCTGGCCGTCCCGTCGTCGCCGTGCCGCGCCGTCCCGCTGTCCACGCCTGGTCGGCGTCGCCGCTGTCGGTGTGCCCGTCACCGTGGCTCGTGCAGGCATGCTGCCAGGGGCTGACTCAGGTCTTGTCGTGGCCAGACCCGGTTCGTGTCATGTCCGCGCAACTCCCCGCGCCGCCACGCGACTGCACCACCACTGGCGAGCCGCCCCTTGGCCGGTGGATGGTTTCCCATCGCGTGCTCTGCTTTGGAGGATGAAGGAATGGGTGAGAATCCAAGAAGAAGTTTTATACAGGGTTCTTATTGCAAACTACGTGACTCAAGTAAATAGTTCGTATGTCATGCGGATTGATTTAAGAGACGTGCAGGGACCGCATCGCAAAAGTACCGCCGCCGTTGGGTTTGCCCCGTGGGCCGGCTTGCTGGGCTGTGGCCTGCCAGCTGCTTGGGCCGTCCGCGCTGTTGCGGCGTTGCCTCCTGGGCCGTTGGTGCGCGCCCTGCCTGGGCCGGCTTTGCACCGCTGGGCCGCGTGCGCTGTGCGCCTGCTGGCCGAACCAGCTCACCGGCGTGGGCCTCGCTGAGGCCACGCCCACCGCTGGGCCGAATAGGTGGCCGCTGGCCCCTTTAGCTTTCTA